TGAGGGAATGAATGATATACTTACTCCACATTTAACTTCAATTTACACTTCCTATCTCAAATAACATTGTCGTTTTACAAAATACCTTATAATGTTGGACACAATAGAACACAATAGAAGTTTTAAGTTCTAGAAACACCTGTAGCGATTTGTACTTGCATTTATTTGTCTTTAAAAAATCTTACCTCCAAAACTTGCACTATGCCATCTCAGTGAGAAAGTGATTTGACGTTGTTAACTCCTTCAAATTGTGTTATAAATATTGCAAGGTTGTGAATTATTTGTCCCAATAAGGTTGAATTTCACTAACGAATTAACAATGTATGAACAGTAATTGTGCAATGTTATATATTTTAGAATGACAGAATAAATAAAATACATAGTTTTTAAGTTTCATACTTATTTTGATCACATATCTATCCCACAAACACTCCACCTTTACAAATAAACCAGTAACACAGTAGTTCATTCACAGTACTATCCGTAAATATTATATTTCATGCGGGTATTTCGGTCACGTAAAAACGAAGCAAAAAATGAAATAATTACCACGATGGATTCATTGCGAGCCCGCCCTCCACAAAGGGTTGGCACGGGCGCGGTTTCAACAACCACAGTTTACCCTTATGCCGACATCAAAAGAGGATAAAATTCTTTATGCGGCATCGCAGATCTTAAAAATCTCGACAACCGCTGGCTGCTTAATTATAACAGCTTGTAGCAGCCCTAAAAGCCCTTCGCGTCGTCGTAATTTTCTTACGAGCACTTTCTGCGTTTTACAGCGAATATAATTATATCGCTGTTTTTATTTTACTCCCTTAGAAAGTGAGGGAAATCAGGGAAAACGTTATGGCCCTAAAGAGTGTGTGTTGGAAATATTTTTTAATTCTACAGGAGTAATTTCTGTTAACAGACTTTTTCGGAAGTATTTTTTAAGTTGATAAACAAAAGTGCCCCCTTTAAATTGGTTTTACTTAAACTTGGTATTTCAGTATACCACGGACTCGAATTACTTTACAACAAATAAAAAGTTCGTTTTTCATGGATAACCCATATTCGTGTTAATATGTTATACCACTGCGCACAATAAATACCATAATCCAACAAAAAACTTTTCTTTTTGCTAATTTTTAACTATGCACCTCCTGGTGTACAACAGTTAATAAATCATAACCCGTGAAGAACAAACAATAAATTTGACTCTAAAATCAAAGAGAATAATTTTGTTGACAGATATACAGGCTTAAGTTTGTTACATATGAATTACAATTATATGTTCAATTAGTCAATTAAACGGCATACCTATGAGTGCAAAAAATACATTCTCAACGGTCTTTGTCCGCGTCACATACTGTACCACTGTACTGGGCTCCAGTTACAACTCCCCAGCGACAGGTCACTCGCTGGTGTCGCGTTGACGCTTTGCTCAACCCATTACCTGACTTGTTCTCAGAATTTTGGTACAAACAGGTGTTATGTTTGTGTGTGTGTTTGTTTGTGTTTGCGCTAGTTAGAGGCCGCGTTGGTTAGCGCGCGCTCGCCAACCCGCCTTTAGCTGGAAACCGAAACCGACACAGATGTCTAAAAATAGTGTCCTCAAATTGTCCAATTCATAAAACTAAGGTTTAATTTAATTTTCTGTTCCATATGCGAAAAAATGTTATCATATGGAGAAAAAGTCCTGAATGTGAATAGTTCTATTGACTAATATAATTTTTTCCCAAAAAGGTTCAGATTTGGAATTGCTCTCTTTTAGTAAAAGGTGCTTCGCCTCGAAAATGCTCTTTCAGACAACGGGTTATTCCGCAAAGATTTTCACACAGAGAAAGTCTAGAAGAGTTTATTAGAGTTTCTCTAACACTTTTCTAGCACATTCTCTCTAACATTTCCTCTGGAATAATCCTCCCCTAGAAATAACTCCATACCTCAACTGATAACTGATTAATTTAATCTAATAATCATCAAGTTTAAACCAAGCCTACTCTGCTCTACAAAAATTCTCTCTCCCTTGACCCGTTTACGTTAAAGACAGTGTCTTGAAAAGTATCATTCGAAGACAAAATCTTCTGTCACTTCTTCGAGAATGATTCTCGCAGTGTTAAAACATCACTTTACTTTACCCTAAAGTTAACAAACGTACTTAACACCAATAAAACAATGAAGTGAATAGTTCAGTTATTTAACCAACAATCTTTTAACTTTTCAATCTTGAGATGAAACACGAAACGTCAGATTACCATCAATGTCACCAAACGTATATTTTCCAACCGAGTATTACAGTTTATACAAATTATCAGGTACGCGCGACCGTCTTGCTTGCACGCAAGCGAAATGGCTGCTTCCGAACATAGTTGTAAAGGCACAACCTTGTAATCTAAAAACCGAAATAACACGTCTAAATCCCAAGCCTGGCTGACTCATAACGTTTCCAACACCCTTTCTGATTGTATTTTGCGGGTTTCTCAGGAAATGTGCCCATGTACAATTTATACTCATACGTATAATATCATCTGGTGAACCTGTCACGCTGTTATTTAAGGTTTTGTATTGCATATGTTTTTTTTTTTTTTTTTTTTTCTGAGACGTGTATCAAATTTATTAGTAGATTTGACGAGTTGAGAACTGCTGAAACAAGAAACAGATGTTTTTCTAGGGATATTATTTTTTAAATACGTTAATAATGTGATCAACATTTTACGATTACAAATCAAACCTCGTAATTCAAATTTCACCTTTTAATTCCCAATTCCAACAATGTAAATCTCACTTTATTTCGTACAATTACAAAAATATGACTTTCTCTCCTAATTTTGATTAGCCTCGTTGGAATTTCACCTTACAAATTCACGGTTAGAGTTTATTAAAACAAAAACACCACCTTGGTAAGATGAAATAATTGTTGGTATTTCAGGAGCTCGTTATGCCATTACAAACTTTCGACCTATAATATTCATGCCGGTTTTTTAAACACCTGCTATCCAGCTCAGCTGCTTTTAATCGCCCCAATTGCTGCCCACTTGCCTAGAGATGGATGAGGTGACTGTTTGCCACACAAATGCAGCTTGTGTTGCCCCAACACAAATAGTGTGAATTGTGTTGCACCAACACAAATATTGCAATTCGCGATGTTTAGCTTTGCAAAACATAACTGATATAGCAATCGCAATTGGTTTAATCTTTTGGATGATTTGATTTTGATTAGTCTACTTTTATAAACATTTTCTCCTCTTCAATTGTGAAGTTTAAACACTAATAAATATACTAGCATCCTTTTTGAGTCTAGTAAAGTATTCTACTGTATATTACCATCTGTGGTGTCTACTCTTTTTAATCTGTGGTGGTATGATGGTTTGGATTGGTAAAGAGACTATTTTCAAAAATTAAAAAGCCTAGTATCAAAAGAGTAATTCATTTGAAACCCGCGAAACCTTGATGTTTATTATGGTAGTTGTCCCAACGCCAAAACTAAAATCACAGAGAAAACACCCGTAGCTCATATGACTTTGATTGATCGCTACAGTCGAAATACACGCCACTCTGGAGAAAGATTACTTATAAAAAGCCTCGCATTCTTTACTCATATTTTTAATTTGTGGAAACATTCTTTTCATAATTTGTAAGATTTTTCCATGTAAATATCTTTGGAGTACTTGCAGATAGTAAACTGTTTAGAACCTTCAAGTGTATCAAACGTGCTCCCGGTGACAGCATTGTTTGTATAGTCAAATCCACATTGGAAAAATATTATTGTGTAAACATATTTTGTTTGGAATACACATTTAAAACATTGAAATACGATAAATACAGTACAGTTTCACATCATACGCCATCATTAGGTTTATTGTATGTAGAACAGCAAAGTATTATTTTAATTCTCAATCAAACTGAATTATTTTAAAGCAAACAAACGACTGAGCAATAATACGTTTTGAAGTAGATTCATTTGAATAATCGAACACCTCTATCAAGTAAGTGAGGCAAAAAGGTTTATCCGCAGATTTATTAAGCGCGTTTACAAAACAACACGTTGTTATCCAAATACGGTCTGACACAATAATAAACAGTCTCTTTGTCCTCTGACTAAACACGATTAATTTTTGCTGGGCTCTGTTTCCAATAATTTGTCTAGTTATTCTTCTGATTACCGATTGAATTGATAGTGAATGTCAGTTTATAAATATAAGTTTTACTAAAAAAAATCATATTTTTTAGCGTCCGCTCTTTAACTTTTTTCAGGGTTGTCAGTTGCCTTTTGGATTTTAAACTACCACGTTCTCACATTCTCTGTAAGGTGGTATTGAACTTTTTCATAATTTGATTCCTAATTACTTTTTTGTCTTACATATTTCATACGTTCAAAACCCTTTCCATTTTCCAGCTTCCCTCACGCATTGCTTCGTCCTCTTCTTTGTACCAGGTACTTTGTCTTCTCATATTCTCTCGACGGCGTTACCTTGAACTCTTGTTTGTTTTTTTTTCTCTTATGTTAGTCTTGATTGCTATTTTGTCTTACGCTTTTATACGTTCAAACACCTTCCCATAATTGATATCATTTGTGCTCATAAATAACTCATGATTACATATTAAAAACAAAACTGTATCCTCTACCTCATGATTTCTACAACTTTTTCATACCGCATCTCCCTTCAAACCATACTGTTGACTTGACTTGTAAGCTTTGTACTGTTTACTATTTGTTCTATGTTGCACATATTCTCACTGAAACGTTTATACCAATTCATCCACCCATCCCCCCTTTCGTTTACTTCTTCCAAATTTGCCTTATGTATCTATATTGTGTTAAATTTACCATTATTTCTGTGTGTATATATCCATTTTGAACCGCTTTGCCAACCCTATAATTTCACCAGGTTCGGATCAACTCCGTTCAACTTCCTTATGCCTCTTGAAGCCATTCTCTAGTTAAACATGACCAACCATTGTTGTTCTCCTCAAACCCTGAACTTCCACCAACCTCTGACTCTCACTCTCTGTTTCAGCTGTTAGTCTCGGGTCAGCCGGCGAGCTCCGTCTCTCCGCCAGTGGGGGCGGGTGCCGGAGCCACCGGGGGCGGTAGCGTGTCCACGGGGGCGGTGTCTCCCTCGGGCTCTGCCTCCGGGGGTGGCTCCTGCTGCGAGAATGGCCGCCCCATCATGACGGACCCTGTGTCCGGACAGACGGTCTGTTCCTGTCAGTACGACTCTGCCCGCCTCGCACTCAGTTCCTACCCCAGGGCCGCTGTATACGGCGCTCCTTACCCCTCCACGGACCAGAACCCGTACCCCAGCATCGACAGTTCCGCCTTCTACTCACCCCTGGTAAGTACACACCGATACACTGATGATATGCTTGTTATTAACTCACTCATCACGGACAACTAGGTCTAGTTTTGAACCCTCAATCAATTTCTGACTGTTCTCAGGATTAAACTGGCAACTATTTTATTTTATCATGTGAGTACTGTATCTACTCAACTACTCATCTGTACAGGGTTGGGCAAAAGTATGGACAATCCCTATTAATTTGTTTATGAGTTACACCAGGAAAACCTAACACTACACCTCTAAAAGTGTACTTTTGTACGGGTTACCAACTTTTTCCGAGAACCCCAAAATTAGGGTATTTCGAGGACAACTTAAAACTTAAAATGTAAAGTCCAAACAAGTGACACCTCATTTTAAAGGTCATCAGTTAAAAAGAGTATTGGTGAAAACTAGAGGTCACACAGATTACAGATTGGCAGCAATTTTTATTTTTCATCACCTTTAAGAAACCCTACAGTACTTAAAAATAACCATACGTATTACTATATTTAATTTTCCCCTAGTTTTTCTCGGAATTAAAATAGCAATCTGAAATTTAAATTTCAAAATAGCACCAAATCTCAGAGTTTCTTGGTTCCGAAAAAGTAGGACTCGCTAACGCAAAGATTTTTTTAGCCAAACATTTTAAATAGCTGATACGTGTTCCCACACAACTACTGCAGCATATTATCAGAAATCTTCAACAAAATCTAATACTGTTTTTCAAGTTTATATCGAAAAGCTGCATTGATTATGAAAAAAACTCCATCGTCAGAATATATATTTTATTAGTTTATTTAAAATTAGTAAGTTTTATGCTGTACACGACTGTATTGAAAATGTTAACAAAGTTTTGAGATGATTGTTATTTTGTTTATAAATGAGCTCATTGGTTGACTAGTTCGTGATGAATGTGTGAATCATTTACCTGCGAGTTGATAAGCAGAAACCGACGGCTGACGCTGAGTCAGTAAAGATAAGAAAGTTTTCGTCCAGGGTCAGCAAAGTCAGCATTGCTCTGTATCAGTAGGGACGTAAATACTGAACAGATTTTGTGGAAACACATCATAATTTGCATTAGAAAGATTACTATTCACATAATGTATTTTTCCATTACGCCATCTATAAATTTGACACCCAACCCTTGACACGATGCGCCTTGAAAACAGTGGATAATGAATAAAGCCATTCGCCCTATCCCATCGTCTCCTATCTGCCCCATACAACCACGATCCGAGAATTCCCGGGATCTCTACCATTTTATTGGCCGAGTCAAACTGCTCAGCGCCGGCTGTATTGAGCAGAGCCTGCATGAATACTAATCGACAATTCGATTTCTCGGTCTTTTATATGTAAAATCAAATCGCGTTCGGAAATTTTCCCCGATAACCCCAGCCAAGTTAATTTGTTTCCCACTTGTTCAGAGGAATGTTAATGTCACGGTGTATATAGCAGTGGCCGTGTGCATACCGCGCTGTTTGTACGCTGTATCTTACAACTTATCACATTCCATATCGCAGGTGTTTTATGAAGTGTTTTGCAATAAAATACGTGGCATTTTTTGCTTATCTCAGTTCGCACGCGCTGTCTGATAAGTAGAATCACGCTTGGTTGAGGACATTTCTTCAGTGGTAAATATTATTTTGATTGGGCAAGCTTTATGAATGCAAATATGCCAAAACTAAATTACTTTGGGTGTGCACGTGACGGGCTATTTAATTTACTTTATGTTTTGTAAAGCTGAGTAACGAAAGCCACTTAAAGTGTAAACTCTTTCACCATAATATTGATGAACAGGTTCCAAAAAAGTTGTATAATTTTCAAGCTGCTATAAAATGATAAAATCGATCGATTTAGAGCTATTTAGTAAAATCAATTTCTTTGATCTTGGTTAGGAATGTAGCTAACATAACCTATTGTGTTCGACGGATAGTGGCTTGGACTAAAAAAACTAATAACTTTTAAATAAAAGATTTTGAAGATATAAAAATCATCATCATCCTTAAATTATTCTAAATTACTTTTTTATCTCCTTAATAAGCAACAAAGTTATGTTATGTATAAAACAGTGATTACCAGCATTAACAGTGCTCTAACTTGGCAATTTGGATCCATCAATTCTGTTATACAACTTTACTGTATTTGGCAAATTTAATATTAATTAACAACCTTCACAGCGTCTGGCAAATTAATTAAACAAAAACCTCTATCAAAGACGGTTATTATCCTGTGACTTGACTACTTGAGTACACAAAAATTGTGCGTGTGGATGAAAAAAATCAATTTTGCAACTCAAGTCATTTTTAACCTAAAATACTTTATCCACTATCCAAATCCATGCATAGTTTGAAAATTATCACAAGGAGCTATAATTTTCGATTTCATGGTCACGGTCAGAATCAACTTTTTAACATATTAAAACCGAAAATATTCAAACTTGTTAGTAAAACGCTCACTAATAATTATCATTGCTATATTATAAACAAGGCGAAAACTCTGTTGGTCCTTCGAGCCGGATACAAAAAATTATTAATCCTAAGGAGAAACTCCAATGCTCAGACAATGATTGTTAGTATAATGAAGAGCAAAATAATTTAAATTTATTGCATAAATCATCTAATTTAAATTTATGTGGTCCGTATAAGGCGAGGTAGGTTAATTAAACAAGTTGGGACTTGTATGATGCTAATGAACCATCATTGGTACTCCGCTCACTGGCAATAACCGTTCCTCAACGGTTCGATATCCGATATTCACTATCGATATTGGCCGTTCGATATTCGCTATTCACTTCCGCTGTTTTCTAGCGGCAATCGCGATTGGCATCCTCTTTTGATTTTTACCGTCAATTCCTTTAATTAACTCCTACTTGAGACTGAGAACCTAACTGTAAAAAAATAATTTCATTTTGCTATATGACAGGATTTGTTGTTTCTGTGGCTACTTTTACCTCGAGATTCTAACTACTGTATTTTCTCTATTCTGTATTGGGCTCTTAGAAAGGATTTTCTTCACAAGAATTGCTTTTCTAAACTGATTTACCACCCTTCCTAAAGATGAATTTCATCAAGTTTTGTGCATTGTGCTAGTTGCAAAGTTGCCTTTTCCCGTTTAATCTGCACTTTTTTATTGTGGTCTTCGTAGAATTTTACGGTTTTGTAGTATGGTGTTTTAAGGAAATGCTTATTAAGTGCCTGGGTATTAATGAATTAAAGTGGCTCGGGTTTTAGCCAAACCCATAGATATGGAGATTTCTTAGTTACAGTTAATTTATTCGCATACACTTCTTAACATGCTACACTACTTAACACCTTACCCTTCCCCTTACACGGACACTACTTAACATATTATGGCATCGTTTTAATCCAGACAACCCTTAGCTTTAAGGGGAGATGCCCAGTTTTTCGGTCAAAAAATTAATTTTTTATTTATTGCATTGAAAAATTCTTCATCTTTTCCTGATTCAGAAAATATATAATTTTAATATATTTACTACAGTCTAACAATCATAAAAAATAATATAAATAGTACTACACACTCGGTTTTAGTCACAATGGGCTGAATTAGCGTCAATTAAATTTATGTTAGAAATTTAATTTTGTTGAATGGTTGCACTGAATAAATGTTGTTGCTAGGTTAAATAGTCAACAAAAATCTTTTTCTGTTTGTTTTTCTTTCTTCATAACATATGTGTATATAATAATAGTGCTGTTTGTGATGAGGAATAATGTGGCATAGGGTAGGCCTAGGCTTGACTTTAAATGAGTTTTTCCGAAACTGTGTTTTTTAATGTTTAGGTACCATTTTCCAGACTACTATAAGTACCACTGACTTCAAATTTTTTTCTGTTACTTAGGACATCATGGCCCACAAAGTGTACTAAAAGTTTGCTTCTATGTTTAAAAAAAACATTAACAATAAAATTAATTAATATTTGTAAAATAGTGAAAAAAATTATATATTTTAAACATTTTGATAAAATATAATTTTTTTGGTAGAACATATTTAAATTAGTACAGTTTGTCTTAAATGTCAATACAAATAAGTAGTTAAAATTTGATATGCATAGCTAAAAGGGTTCTTTCTTAAATGGTACCTAAGCAACACGATGTTTACCCATATAAAATGCATTAAATCTAAAAAGTGGGCATCTCCCCTTAAGTACTAACTAGTCATGTAACCTTATTCCCAAATTTAAATGTCACTCAATTAAAATAAATTTAAGGACACTAATACACAAACCGATTCAGCGCACATCCACGCGTTCCCAACAGAAATAAAACTAGAACGCAGATTTGACCTAATGAAAGCCACATGGTGTAAACCAATGGCGGCTTATGACTACTCTCCGTCGTAAAATGTAATGGCGGCCGTAACCGCGAGAACAAATGGCAAAATGTCGTAAAACAAGGCCGTGTTTACGACACGGTATGTAGTGTGTAGGCACGGTGTACAGTGGCGATCTGGCTCACAGGGTGGCCAACAACCAAACAATTATTTATTCAGGTATGAATACAGTTGGCAGCATTTGTTACCGCTTTCACTAAAGGTGGGTCTGTTGAATGGGTTCGAATTTGCATTTTTTACAAATGCGTGGATTTTGATGTACGTGGATTTGTTTTGGATTGCGATAAAGTTGTGTAATGAAGTTTTTATCTATTTTCGCAAAAAGAAATGTATTTTTGTAAAAAAAACCTCATAGTTAGACCGGATAATATTACAGTAGCCTACAGTATTTGGAAAGAGGCCAGTTCTTAAATAGTTCAATGTTTGTCGAATACGACGTGCTATAGACGTGTGGCGTAATTTATCTCATAATTGCGATACATGTGGTACACAAGATCTTTGAAAACGTATTCTTCAAAGATAAATAGGTACTTTGCTTTGTAACTAAATAGCAAGTTAGTTAAACTTTGTAAATAAATAACACGTTGACAATCAGCTGATACTCCGACTCCGGAGCTACTTACTATTTTAGTGCTGACGAAATAGGTGATAAAAGTGACAGAAGGAAG